ACCGATTTAACATCCCTAAATTTACCTCCTGGATGGATTATTTCGTAAGATAATACCACCAAATGATACAGTAATGTAAAACACATGCATGAATCCGCAGTTTGGCTAATTACCAAATGTATAAGAGAAAATGGTTTAATTTGCATGATTGAGATTATAGTGTTTCTAATTTGACTTAAATGTGGAGTCAATCAACTACTCTTTTCAAATATTAATTAAATATATGAGATAAGTCCCATTATCTCATAACCTTTAATCACAATATCATGTCATGTGTCCATTTGTACACATCTAAGAGAATAATTGATGATTCTTATTGCAGATAAGATAAATATAAAAAGTCAACTACACACTCTTGTTGTCAAGAAAAATACTTGTAATGAAAATATTTTACATCAGAGGTAAATAAACTTTACTGTTAGGGTCAAAAGTCTAGCATTCGAATTTTGTCCGCAGATACTTCCCGATTTGTAACGAAATTTGAATTTTCAAATCGATCACCTTACACAGCAAAAAAGAATCGAAATCTCATATAATGCTACATCACATTTCACGTGTTTCTTAGTGTTAGGTGCTAACCGAATTTGCCCACATACAGAGTCTACACCACGATACAACCAAACAAATTCAACAACAAAAAAAATTCGTTACACAAAAAAAAATGCCTGTCTCCATGTAGACAAATTGCTCGACAAAAGGAGCATCTTGGAAAGGTAACTAATTTGCTTAACTCCAACAATACAAAAAGTGTACATCTCACATGAATCAGGTATAACAATTATCACGCTTGCTGTTTCAGACGAGGTTGCAAAGCAAGTAGGATTTTCTTCCTTGGTCCCTGCAATTAATGAAGCCTTCTATAAGTGAATGCTCGAAAAATCGGATGAGAAAATAATCAAATATAGATATAGTTACAGTTAGATCAATGAAAGACATCTTATAGTGATGGCACAAATCAAACAATAATGTCCAATTTCACCTCGATATAGATGACGATGGATATAATCTAGAGACTGTAGAAAAATGCATCACGTCTAGCATACTGTTGGAATAAATAGTCGGACCAGATTTGTCTAGCTGGCATGTGCCCGATTTTTATTACCAAACATCCTAGGAACTCATTACATGTTAAATCTTATTTTCGAGATAAGATTCTACGTCTGGATAGATGAGTTCCAATAGCTTATAAGATGATTCTAGATAGTGATAGCAATCTTCTAATTACATAGTCAAAAAGGTCCGTTACATCTTAACAAAAAAAAATCATCGAGAAATTTCTGGCAGCTTAAAGAGAGAACAAGCTCAGCTTTGAGAAGAGCAACTCGAAAAAATTCAATTTCTGAGAAACCAGCCATTTCTCCAGTGAAGGTTTGTCGAAATATTCAGGATTACGCAATTAAATTTATTTCAATACAAACAAGGAAATTAGCAATAAATAAGATATGAAATAAAATAGGAGTTTCATTAGAGGTATTACCATAGGTATTCCCAACTCTTTAAGATCCCTCTCATTCATACGCTTCAAAGAATACATGTCCACCTGCAACATATCTTATTTAGTCGATTGATTGAAAAAAATCACACATAGCTGATTTGCTGAAGAAAATGTTTCGCACATCTATAGTAAAAAAGCCCAAGAAGTTTAAACGATGCACCAAATTAACGAGAACAACTGAATAAGTGCATTACATACTCAACAGTTCACATGAACCATTTCAGTTTAAAACTCAATTTTTAACAAGACCGACTGATATCCTTTTGCAGCACTAAAAGTGAAGAGCAGTAAGACAATCACCAAACGTTACTTACTTCCTCAGCCTTAAAGAGAACAGCAAATTTTTCAAGACCCAACGAACGCAAAAAGCTGTCAACAGTAACTTGATCACTGACCTGCAAGCATAATATCCCGTGAGCTAATCAAAATGCAAACCTTTGAATTTAACCACCGAATTCATAAACATTTTCTTGGTCATCACTAGAAATTGCATGAGTTCCATAGTTTCACATCGACAGTAAATATACTGGCAGTAGCAAAAAGAATCTTGAACACTGAGATATTAAAGAATAACAATAGGACTTTATCAATGCTGTTGAACGCAGAAAATGCCACAAACTAGATTGCCGGCAGAGACAGTCATCGTAGCTACTGCCAACCGAGGACAAAAAAATATCACAAATTTGATAATACATTTTCAGAGGCTCGTTTAGAAGTCGCAAACTATTATTAGGTGCCCAAAAAATCACATTACTGAACAAGGAAGTAGAGTGATCGTCTTCATAACGTTCAAAAGACTATGAACCTCTCATAGATTATACAAGTTCTGATCGAAAAAAGCACAATACTAAATTATACAAGTTCTGATCGAAAAAAGCACAATACTAAATAGGTTGAAGGGCGGTTCATTTAAAAGATTTACATTTTCAATAATGAAGCAATATTCAAATGCTTCACAAATCGCACCAAGTCAGATTTAGTAACTCATTACATGTGAAATCTTATTTTCGAGACAAGTTCCTACTTCTGGATAGATGAGTTCCAAGAGCTTATAAGATGATTATAGATAGTGACAGCAATCTTTTAATTTCATAGTCAAAAAGGTCCGTTACATCTTATAAAAAGAAAATCAGAGAAAATTTTGACGGTTTAATGAGAGAACACTCCAATCTTCATCATCAATCTATCTCTTGTACATTCTACGTTACTAAGTATAAGCAAGCTAGCCGTTCTAAACTTACGATGTGCAATCCAAAGGAAATTCGTATAAATACACTATAAAGTAACAAATAAGTAAATTTCACAACAAAAAATGTTAACAAACTACAGTAGACTAACCACATATGCACTTCTTTGTACGAGGCTCCCAGGCAGAGGAGGTGAAGAGGCTACTGGTGCCACCGCTTTCATTTGCCCAACAGATGGAACCATTTTAACCAAGTGTGATGAAGCCATGGGCCTCGACATTTCAACAGGGTCTTTACTCATATACGTGCTTGTCCTAGCATCATCATATCCCCTAACTGCAAAACTTCTCTGCACTACTTCGTCTCTCTTTGGTGCAACAACACCTCTAGAAGTTGGCAAAGTTTCATCTGGTGATCTTCGCCTCAAACGATCCAACGTCCATGGAGAATGAGAATGAGAATTAATCCCCGACTCCATTCTCGTAACAGGATTTGGAGCTCTCTGCTCCTGCATAAGATGATGCCTAACATCTTTTTCCTCGAGAATGCTTCGCACACTTTCCCTACCTTCCATAATGTGCTGTCTCCTAGGATCTGGTGCGTGCTCGGACCTCAATTCAGGGATGTGCTGGCTAGAATATCTAGTAACAGGCGGCGGTATATGTCTACCATCTCTTGCCTCTGTAAAGTGCTGTTTGCCATCCATCGATTCCAAATAACGCAGTCTAGTATCCTTCGGCTCGGGTATTCTGTCTCGTGTAGCTATGGTGTTTGTAGTAGATTGAGCAGGCCTTGATAGGAAGTTGCGAAGATCCCCTCCACTCTGCTGGCTGTTTTGACCTTGCTTATGTATATTCTTTTGCATGATTTTGTACCGGAGATCGTCTTTACTAAGACCATCATAAGCATCGGCCGCTCTACCATCGCTGCGATGTCTGCAAAACATAATTATAAAAATTTAGTTGGCCAACAAATACATCACCAATTCACCAATATAAATCCCTTTCTCAATTTCACATGTAATCCATTTCGTCGTGTTTTTTGCTAACAAGCAACACATTTCCGGTTTGTAGATAAGTCAGAGCAGCTTAAGCACCGTTTTACATAGGTACCTAAAAATGAATATTACCAGATCCCACAGACTAAAAATCATACATTATTAAGCGAACAAAGAAACAAACCTCTTGTTATTAAATTGGGCAGAAGAATCAACATTATTGCCAAGCCTTTCCCGTATCGACCTTTTACTTCCTGCAACTGCATGCGAATCGGTAAAAGAGGTTTCCAACGTACTCCCACCCCTTTTCACCACCTATAAAACAATAATCAATTTAAAAAAAACGCACCCGAAAATCACACAGACAGTGAACTTCCTCTAAAATTCAAACCCCCACCCCACCTCCCACCTTTTTGCACAAATATACAAGTATAACTATACAGCCAATAGCATAAATTCAAAAAACAATAGCATCACAATTCACCATATTTATACAAAATTTTGACGCTATTAAACCAAAAATACACAATCAATATATATACCAAACAGTAAGATGCTTCAAAACGACAACGTATTCACAACCCAATCCATTACTCGACCAATAAATTTCAAAAATCCAAAAAAAATTTAGCAGAAATATGAAATTAAAAGCTTTTGAATAACAAAATTACCTGCCCAGTGCGTCCGAGGGTAATGGTAACTCGAGACCTCGAAGTCTCTGACATTTAATCTTCCGAAATATCTCAGATTATTCAAATAGAAGAACGGAATATAATGCGAGATGAATAAAACCTTCACCCAAACATGAAAAAATACAGAAACCCTAATCGAATTTTGCTCTTCAATTAGAAACTAGGCTTCAGAAGAGGGTTTCGCCGCGTCTGTTCGTTCGTGTGCCCGAGAGAGAAAAAAGGGGAAATTTTGCTTCGCTGGCAACTGGAAATGTAAGGATGCGCGTAGCGCGTGAGGGATGTGGCGCGTGTGAGCTTTTCATTCAGAGGTAAAGAAAACAGTTATGGGCCAAATGATGATGCAAAATAATCCTAGTTTTGAGCCTTCTTACGTGGGCTAATTAATGAGTACGTGTGATATTTCATGGGCTTTTAAGTAAATTGTCTCGATTATTTTAATTTGACTTGGGCATTACATTACTTATTGAGATTTCTTCATAAATAATTTCCCAAATTAATCATATTTATTGAGATTTTGTTCATTATTTCAAAATCTTCCTAAAAAATCGAAAGTTTAATCTTTTTAGTTTACAATTATGAGGTAAAAAATAATTGTAATGGCCGATTCAGATACGATTATGAGGTAAAGATAAGTTGTTTGATTTAGTTTATCTATTTGCGAAAATTTAAGTATATCGTACACGAAACCTGTGAACAATTACAACAACTAAATAAAGATTGCAGTGATTAAAAAACCAAAACAAATGAGGGTTTCGTGTTCTAGAGTAGGAAACATTAAAAAAAAAATGGTTTTCGTACTCTGAAGCACGAAATGTTCTTAATTTTTTTGAGTTTCGTGCTCTAAGTGGACGAAACAATTCGAAATTTTTTAATATTAATAAAAAGAAAAAGAAAATGGGTATTTGGTGTTTGTGTGGGCCCACCGCACCTGAATCCACCCTCCTCCTAATGGTTCAATGGTAATAAAAGGACAACCATGTCATAACAATATCCAAATTGTAAGTCTTAATTATCAGATTAGTTATGTGAGCTGGGGATTAATTGGTGGTAATTAATTACAAATGTGTTTAATCAATTCAATCATCACATCTGCAGCAGCAAGCACAATCATTTCCTGGCAGAAATTTACACTATGAAAATGCATAATGCATGGTGACCCACTAAATTAAATAGGCAAAGACACGACAAATTGAAACATATTTATATATATTATTATTAATTAATCGACAAACTAATTAATTGATCTCTTAGCGATACATTACATTTTAAAACGGGCAATAATTATTGAGAGAATCTTTTTTTATTTTTTAATGATGAATATTTATCATCACAATATAATGCCAGATCAGACGGTCCTATTTTTTGTTTCCTTGAAACGTGTATAATTTGCCTGAAACGTGTAAATGAAATAATAATTACTAAGGCTTCATCAATAGTTGGATTCAATGGACTTGAAGAGAGCATTGTTCATATTTACACGATTTGCCATTAGAAAAATGTAACGTTAATTAATAATTAAGCCAGATTCGAACGAGTGATCAATGTAATTAATTTATACACAAAGCATGCATCCACACTTAGCTCATATCAATCCACATAAACTTTATTACATCAACAGTATATAGTAGAGAGAGAGAGAGAGAGAGAGCCAAACCTGAAATCTCTGCACTTATAACTAGCTACTTAAGAAAACTCACACGCGCGCACGCACACACACACGTACGATGAAGGAAATATGAAAACGCGTATATATTGAACTTCAATAAATCGTTGAATTAATGGATTTTGCTTTTGATGCAATTAAACATCGTCGGACCGTTACGCTTCGATTCCCCAGAGAGATAAAAAAAAATATAAGAAGAAGAAGAAGAAGATGACATCATCCGGAATAAAAACTAGGGTTTCAAACCTAATTGGTTTTTCTTCTGTCTCTGATCTCTTCTTTCTTCTTCTTGGTTTGTTTTGAGCAGGAGGAAGAAGGAGGTGGTTCATCTGAAAGAAGGAGGTGAAGTTCCACTTTAAGTATATAGGATAACAGCAAACAGTTTGTATGCATATATATGAAAATTTCCGTAATGTAAGAGTCGATAAAATATATCTTCCAGCATATATTCTAAAAACTAGAATGCTCATGTTTAGAAAATAACCGTGATTATGTAATTTGTTGCGTAATAATTATATTAGTGGGTTTCTCCGTTGGAGTTCGGGTTCGACGCAATTCCAATATGGCAACCCATACATTATTAGCTTGTCATTCAAGTGTCATTCAATGGTGCAAGTATATATAATTATATATATATATTTTTTTTTTCAATTCCTTCTGGGGTTTAAGATATATATGGAAAAATTGAGATGCTTTGGTGTTTAGGGTTTCCTAAAGTAGAGACTCCGCTCCGCCTGAATCTTACGCCAAGTTTCTACCTATTTATAACAACTCCGTTTCTTCTCTTCTCCATAAATCAACTTCCTTTTTTCTTCTTCTTCTCTTCTTCTTCTTCTTCAACTTTTAGATACATTCAACTTCAAGACAATTTCAACAAGGTGAGTTTGCGTTATTTTCTTATTATTATTGATTTATGGTTATATTCTCTTATTATTGTTTTAAATAGGGTTTTTCTCTTATTATTGACTTAGGGTTTTCTTGTGATTGTTTTGGGCGTTTTGAATGTGAATTCCGATATTAGGGTTATTATTCGGCGATGGTGTGTATGTGTGGTGAATTTCTTTGGTCTAAGACAGAAATTAGGAACGAAATTAGGGTTTATAATTACTAATTGGTTGAAAACATGGAATTAATAAAGATCTGCTTTTTTTTTTTTTTTTTTTTTTTTGTACATGTTCAATTTATTTAATAATCTGAGTTTTGATTGATGTATGTATGTTCAGGAGGAAGCTCGAAGATGGAGCTTGAGCTTGACATGAACACACCCATAAACAGAGGTTGCTCCGCCGGAGTGTACAATGTACATGTCTGCAACGAAAGAGCTAATCGAGAAACTGCACAACGCAATAGCCGAAGCGAAAACAGAATTGGAAAAATATTTTGACGTCTCAGCCCTAATGATGCGACTGCTGCTGCCGCCGGTGAAATATCGGGTCAGAGGAGCAAATGACGACGACGATGGCGAAGAAGAAATTACGCTAAGCGATGAGAAGGTGGCCATGTACGCGGAAATTGAGCAATTAATTGTAGATATGGATATGAAGCATAGGCTTCAGGTTGCAAAAGTCCACCAGATGACAAAGATCACTAACTACCTCTTGGAATTGTTTGGCCGTGGCTACGCCAATAGCGAGCTTCTTTCTATAACTCTCCGCTATGTCGCTCGAGTAGATAAGGCTACCGAAATTTATGCAGTTCAAATAGCACCACCACCACCACCACCTTCAACCACCAACCGAGCCAACGAGTAAATTATTTGTTCGTATTCTAGTATTGTTTCCGATGATTCTTCGTTAAATTTTTCGTAATTTATTGGTCTTTACCAAATTTTTTTTTTAAGGTTTATTTTTTTCAGCTTGAAATTATTCTTCAAGATTTTCAATGTGGCATCCATTCTTTAATATAAAGATCTTTTTTTTTTTTTATAAAATATCGAGGTGGCATCCATTCTTTATAAATGAAATTTTCGAACGTTCGACGTAGCCCGAAGTTGTACTACACTTTGGGGTGGAAATTGGAACCGAATTTTCGGTTTGAATTGAAATCGGAAGTATATGTAAACTAAATGGTTCCAATTTCCTAAAATGGACGTTGGAGAAGATTAGTGATATGAAATTTCCGATCTTTTTCCCGAAAATATAGAAGTAATCTGATTGCCGAAAACTCTGAAATCAGAATCAATTTTCAGTTCTCGAGACTTTTCGAACCAGATTTGTAATCCAGTTTTCACTTTCGAAAATAAAAAATCTAGTTTTCCGATTCAATCAACCGATTCCATGTAATAATTTTGGCAATCTCTTCTCAGAAAAAAAAGTCATATTAAAGAAAAAAAAATTGTGGCAGTCAAAATAGTATACTATACACACGATTTATACTTATATCGAAAATAAAAAGAAAAAGAAAAGGGAAACAAAAAAATAATTGTAAGGATCTCTACATGTAAAGAAAGATTATAGAAGATCTTCTAGAACATTCTCCAAAGTTTTCTACAGGTGGGCGTAACTGGATCATCTTCCATTGGACTTGCTTGAGGATTAACTTTAATTCTTCACTCCATGGAAAAATAAAATATTAACTCTATAAAACAATAAATAGTTCATGTTGGTAATTATATCATACTCCATTTATCATATTTTTTGTTGCAAATTATCTCAGTGTATATATATTCTGCTTCTATTTGTATGCATTATGCATCTTTTTCCATAACGTAGATCAAATATATTTTCCAGCATTTATTCTAAACATTAGAATGCTCATGTTTAGAAAATAACTATGATTATGTAATTTGCTGCGAAATAATTATATTAATGGGTACATATATATAATTTTCTTTTCCAATCTTGGCTACACATACTGTGGAATTTGCTGCGCTTGCGACACTCTGCGACTGGGTAGTTATTGTGGGACGCCGGAGTAGAGGTGTTTGCCGGCGACTCATACATTAGCTCGTCATTCAATTTTTTTGTTTTTTTTTTACTATTTCTCAATTCCTTCTAGGGTTTAAGATATATATGGAAAAATTGAGATTATATTTATAGTATTTGTGTTTTTTTTTTTTTTTTTTTTTTTTTTTTTTACTATTGCCTTGGTGTTTAAGGTTTCCTAAAGTAGAGACACCGCTCCGCCTGAATCTTACGCCAAGTTTCTGCCTATTTATAACAACTCCGTTTCTTCTCTTCTTAAAAAAAATCAACTCCCTTACTTCTTGTAACTTTTGAATCAACTTCAAGAGAATTTCATCTTCAAGATATATAATTTTAACAAGGTGAGTTTGCATTATTTTCTTATTATTATTATTGATTTATGGTTATTTCTCTTATTATTGATTTAGGGTTATTTTGTTATTGTTGATTGAGGGTTTTCTTGTGGTTATTTGGTCTAAGAGGGAATTTGCTGCATGCCCTAGGAAGGAAATCAGGAAGTTATTAGTCGAGAAAATTGAACAATGATAGTAATTGCTATTTGGTTGAAAACATGGAATTAATAAAGATCTGATTTTTTTTTATTTTTTTTGTGTACACGTTCAATTTATTTAATAATCCGAGTTTTGATTGATTGATGTATGTATGTTCAGGAGGAAGATCAAAGAACATGGAGCTCGACATGGACACACGCATAAACATAGGTTGCTCCGCCGGAGTGTACATGTCTGCAGCGAAAGAGCTAATCGAGAAACTGCACAACGCAATAGCCGAAGCGAGAGCATAATTGGAAAAATATTTTAATGTTTCAGCCCTACTGAAGCATATGCCGCCGCAGCCGGTGAAATATATGATCGAAAAAGGAAATTATGGCGATGAAAAGACGCTAACCATTGAGAAGCTGTTCATGTACATGGAAATCGATCGAATAATTGCGGCTATGTATACTCAGCATAAGGAACAGGTTACAAAAGTCCACCAGATGACAAATCTGGCTAATTACCTCTTGGTAAGGTGTATCAAAGGCTATGGCTTTGGCTACGGCTATCGCAAGCTTCTTTCTATTAAACTCCGGTATGTCGCCCGAGTCGACAACGCTACCGAAACTTATAAAATTCAAACAGCAGTACCAGCACCACCACCTTCAACCACCAACGAGTACGAGTAAATTATTTATTCGTATTCTAGTATTGTTTCCCATGATTCTTCGTGAATTTTTTGTAATTTATTGGTTGAGACTTGAGAATAATGATTTATTGCATTATTTATTAAATTATTATAGTTTAAACTTGCCTTTATCAAATTTTTTTTAAGGCTTGTAGCTATGAGTTTATATTGGGTTTATTTTTTCAGCTTCAAATTATTCTTCAAGATTGTCAATGTTGGATACATTCTTTATAAAGATCAATTTAATAAAAATATATATAAAATATCAATTCGGATGGGTTTTGAATTAGCTTTTTTGAAAATTTTCCAAAACAATTTGGAAGTACAAAATCAATTCGAATTTCAATTCCAAAATTTTCGGGATCTAAAAATTCATTTCAATTCCAAAAGCTCTGGAAAATTTCGGAATTTAAAAAAAAAATCGGAAATCACTTAAAGTTTTAAAATTTCAAATCTTAGCGATTTTTTTTTTTTTTTGAAAATTTCATAATTTTCCCAAAATAAGAACATTTACGTCGATAAAAGTAAAATTAATAACTACTAAATTTCAATTAAAAAAATAAAAAATAAAATAATATCCAACAAAATTTCTAACAACAATAATTCAATATGTCAAAATCCTACAATAAAACTTAAATCAAATTACTATTTCAGAAGTCAAGAAAACTCCGATATGTCGCCCAAGTCGACAAGGCTATACCGAAACTTATGCAATTCAAACAGCAGCACCAGCACCTTCAACCACCAACGAGTAAATTATGTATTCGTATTCTAGTATTGTTTCCCATGATTCTTCGTGAAATTTTCGTAATTTATCGGTCTTTACCGATTTTGTTTTGAAGGCTTTTAGGTATGAGTTTATACTGGGGCTTATTTTTTCAGTTTGAAATTGTTCTCCAAGATTGTCAATGTGGCATCCATTCTTTATTATAAAGATCTTTTTTTTTTTTTTTTTTTTAAATATGAAATATCAAGGTGGCATCCATTCTTTATAAATGAAAAATTCGAACGTTCAACGTAACCCGAAGTTGTACTACACTTTGGGGTGGAAATTGGAACCGAATTTTCGGTTTGAATTGAAATCGGAAGTATATGTAAATTAAATGGTTGGAGATGATTAGTGATATGAAATTTCCAATCTTTTTTCACGAAAATATAGAAGTAATCCGATTGTCGAGAACTCCGAAATCAGAATCAATTTTCAGTTTTCGAGACTTTTCGAATCAGAGTTGTAATCCAGTTTTCAGTTTCGAAAATCGAAAATCCCGAAAAGCATGTTTTCCGATTCAATCAACCGATTCCATATAAAATTTTGGTAATCTCTTCTTCAAAAAAAAAAAAAAAAAAAGAAAAGAAAAAATTTGGCAATCAAAATAGTATACACACGATTTACACTAATTATATCGAAAATAAAAATAAAAAGAAAAGGGAAACAAAAAAAAAATTAATTATATCTAGGTAATAGGAACCCAAAGATTCCAAATTTTAATCTCAGAATCCAAACAGCCACTATAAACCATATAAGAAGTGCCAGAATTATCACTGCTTTTCACATAATTAATATCCAAACATGCCGTTAAACACTTGACCGGATTATTGTGCCCTTCAAAAACAGACAAACAAGAATAACTATTACCACTCCCAGAATTACTATTACCACTCTCTCTCCTCCATATTCTCACTGTTCTATCAGCCGATCCACTGCACAGCAAATCCGACACAACCGCCAAACACAGGATAGCCTTCGTGTGTCCCCTCAGCGCCCCCACCACCGCCATATGGGCGGTGCCGCCGTCCCTCTCCCACAGTATGATCGATCTGTCGCATGCGCCGGAGTACAGTACGGCGCCGTCGGCGCTCAGGGCCAGCGCGTTCACGGCCGATCTGTGCTTTTCGAGTGTGGCGACGAGCGAGTGTCTTTTTTTATCGCCGCCGTTCTTTTTCCAAACCCTGATTCTCTTGTCGCCGGAGCCCGTGTAGGCGAACCCGTCGCCGGATAGAGCGACGGCGTTGATCGCATCGTCGTGCGCGTTCTGTACGGACTCCAGGCACTTGAAATCCGACGTCCGCCACACTTTGAACGTGCGGTCCCACGAGGCGGAGTACAGCAGGGTGGCGTCCGCCGTTAGTGCGAGGGCCGAGACGGCGTCCACGTGGCGGACCCACGTGGATTTCTTGTGGCGGCGGACGCTGACGTGGCCGCCGGAGGAGAACAGACCCAGGCAGCGGTCGGTCATGGTGGGTAGAGTCTTGATCAGCTTGTACGGTGGTCTCCGGGGGCCGTTGGGGGCGGAGGAGTTGTCGATTTTCCAGACGCGGATCTCGTGGTTGTGGTGCGCCGTGAATAGGAGATTCTCGCCGGAGATTGCCATGGATTTGACTGCGCTGCGGCACTCTGCCACTGGCTGGTGGTTATTATTGTGGGACGACGGCGGCGATGGACTGTGACTGTGAGCATCCCGTACGTGGATTTCTCCGTTGGAGTCGCCGGAGTAGAGGTGTTTGCCGGCGAGTGAAAGGGAGAAGACGGAGGAAGAGTGGGATTTAATAGTGGCTACGTAGTGGTGGTGGGCGGAGGCGCCGCCGGCGTGGGCGGTGGTGGTACTGGTGTGGGGATATAAGTAGTGCTCGAGGGGTGGTGTTAGGGAGGGGACTGAACGGAGACTTGATTGTGAAGAGAGAGAAGATCTAGAGTTCAGAGATGAATCTGACCGGAGCTCCGATTGAGATTGGTCGGAAAGTTGTTGGGGTTTGTCGGAGGGGAAAGGCCCCATTTTGGTTTTCTTGTTTATTTGGTGAGAAGCTTCAGAAATACTGAAATATAATATATAGTTGTTGAAGTTGAACTGATTAAAAGAGTTTGATTTTTGCTTTTTTTTTTCTTTTAGCAAAACATGAAATAAAATATCCTGATTTTAAAATTTATTATTTTAAAATAATTGTTGCAACTAAAGTTATCTACTTTTAGGATCAAAAATAATGTTATCAATTTTTTATTTTATTTTTTGCTTTTTGGAATTATATTATACTTTACATGCAAATTAATTTTAAAATCACATCTGATTATATTAAGTACTAGTAACTCACCCGTGCGATGCACGAGGTCAATTTTAAGTACAATTTTTTAATGACTAAAAGACGCCAATGGGGTAAATCAAACACATTTATGAATGAAAAGAGAATGTTAATGCGATGCATGGGGTAATATAAAAAATAAAAATATGAAATCGAACGAAAACTTTGAATAGTCAATAGTTGATACATAATACGATATCATCTAAAAAATTTAAAAACTATATCAATTCCATTTATTTAAGTACCAATATAAACAAAATAAATGATAAAAGAAAATATAAAAAATGAAAATTGTGATATATAAAATAAGATACATTATCTGATCCAAATGGTACAACTATGTCGTCCAATACACTCGGATCCTTAACAAAACTTAATTATCAAAGTAGTGTTTTACAGCACATCCATTGACATCTCCTATAACTCTCTTTGCGAGTAACATACACATTTTTCATTGCTCAAATGCAATCAGTGATACACATTACTGAAACATAATCACTTAAAGGTGTAAAAAATAAATACAATTTGTACTAAATCACATCGATTCTAAAAAAAACAAATTCAATGGAGTAGACAATCATATGTGCGTAAAGTGCAAATAACTAA